ATGCAAGGCAAGAAAACCTCTCACGCGCAAGCTTTTTTTCGGCGCCACGAAACGAACCAGACGCGCACGAGGCCAGCTCAGAAGCCTTGGAAGTCTGAGCGACACTTTGCAGTTAACGGCAGTCAATGGATCATGCGTCCCCTAACAAGGCCAGTGTAGGAAATTTCTCAGCACCATGAATAGTTTACCATTACCCCCTCAAAACGCGGTGATTGGCTGAAGCGAGTTTCTCGGGGGTAAGAGATTGCCAGGGGAAATGGTCAGGTGCAGCGGAGAACAAGGAGCGAAGCGATCGAGCCCATGACGCTATCGAAAGCCCGGAGCTTGGCTCCGCAGCAACCGCAGCGCACATGGCCGAAGCGCCGCCTGTGAGGTGTCTGACTGAAAATTTGACGCAGAAGACGCCATGCGCAAACTGGGGCCTTGTGCCAGCTTCCGCGACGGCCAGCGCACGCTTCCCGCCGGAGAGTGTGGAGGCGGGAAGAGATTTTTTTGCGGTGCTGCGTCTCATGTCTGGCTCGCGTCATGCATACGCCGCATACGCTCTGCGCTTGTCATCGGGTGCCTGGATCAGAGGAGAACCGAGATGGAGACGCTGCAGATTCTGACGCTGCCTATTTGATGCTGGTGTTGCTGTTTTGATACCCATTGCATGCATCGGCATTCATCCTTCTGCAAGGCACAGTGAGCTTCGTCGTTGGTGGCGTCTTCTAAAAAAGCAATTACACCTTCGGCTGCTCAGTTTTTCGCTCTGCCAGCTGACCGCGCACGTTCCGGTGGCCGTCCGAGCCTCCGGACGCACCGTCGTGCATGACGTCGAACATCGTGAAGTCTAGGCGTGGGCGGCTCTGTGCTTGCGGTCTGCGGTGACAAACAGGGTACGTGGCCCCTTGTTGTGGCTGGCCCTGTGATCAGGTACCTGCAGTGCTCGCGATCGCTGCAGCTGGGGTGATGCTATTTGCGCATGTCATGTCGCCATTGTGTGTAATATGCGTTGCACATTACGTGGAGTGAAGCATCGGTGATTTGACCGCAGTCACACCATAGCTGACGCGACTAGAGAAGACCTCACGATGCTTGGCACACCCATTCGCCCAAACCCTCTGACTGTAACTTTCCGTTTCGCCCTCCGTGTGCACATTCGCGGGTGGATTAATTGTGGTATTCTGTACGCTTCATAATCATAGGGGTATTCCAAAGCGCTCACAAACGCCTGCCATGCACGGGCTCTCCCCTCGTACACCTTACCTAACCGACACTCTCGAACCATGCTCGCGCTTAAGTAACAGAAACGCACTCGAATGCGGGGAAAGCAGCATGCTACAGTAGCTCTCCCGTCTAGAAGCTACGGCTACCGGCTGACACGTAGATCTGCCATCACCCAACCAAGCGCGCAGCCCCCAGCTTTCTTCCTCGGTGGTTGGCGCGACCCCAGGTCTTGGGACCTCATTCCATGACTAACTGCAACTGCGCTACCCATGCAAGCACGCAGCTCCTTCTCGAAAGATGATGCGGAGGCGGGAGAAACGGGTGCGGAGTAAGTGCTGCTGCCAAAGACGACGTGTCGGTGCTTAGGCGAATTTGGTGTGGATGATGTCTGGGTTTTCCTGCCATTCGTCTTTCTCTACCCACATCTGCACGCACGTGTCAGTTCACCGGCTACAGCCTCGTTGGGAATAAGAAACTTACCTTCTTGAAGGTGCTGAGGCCCGCAAGAATGCTCCCACCGGTCCACGTGGTGTAGATGCGCTCTGGTGGTGCTAAGATCTTGATCCTCATGTCCTTCACCGCCAGTCTTTGCACCTCATGAAGCAGCCTGTTTCCGAATCCCTTTGTCAATGTGGAACCTCCAGAGAGTACAATGTTGCCATAAAGCGCCTTCCGGAGGTCCATGTCGGTTCTGTGTATCGCCTCGACGACAATCTGGTGCACGCCAGGGTACTCCAGACCAATGATCTCAGGGTTGAAGAGTATCTCTGGTGCTCGGAAGCGTTCCGCTCCGATCTAGACTGTCAGCTCGTGTACGATGCGTTTCGTCATTTGTACTCACCTTGATCTTCTGGCCGTCAGGTAATGCGTAGTCGACGCTCTTGCCCTCTGATCTGGACGAGCCTGACCAGTCCTTCTCCTCTTTGGCCGGGTCGAGTGCCACGTATCCTGTTGCCTCTTTGATGTTCTTGACCGTCTCCTTCTCAGCGCTGGTGTGGAAGACGCGGCCGCTTTTCCTCAGTAGCTGCTGGAAGTGCTCTGTAACGTCTCGGCCTGCCACGTCTATCCTCCTGATGCTGTTGGGAATCGCAAAACCCTGGAAGACTGGCACTGCATGCGAAACACCGTCTCCCGAATCTAGAACTAGACCAGTCGTCTTGCCGGATGCGTATAACGAAAGGACGGCTTGGACCGATGTGTATAAGGCGGGCACATTAAACGTCTCGAATAGAATCTGGGCAGCCGTATCGCGGTTTTCTCGGGGGTTTAGCGGAGGTTCTGTGAGGAGAACGGGATGCTACAGAGACAGATAGTCAGCTTGATGCCCCTCAATCGCTCAAATGGCAGTCTGCCATGGCTCAACTCACATCTTCGCTGACGGTCCTCAGGCCCTCTGTATAGACATACTGCCATATCCGCTCCATATCATCCCAGTCTGTGACAATGCCGTGCTCCAATGGGTAGTTGATCTTGAAGAGCCCCCTATATTGTTGTGCTTGTGGTCCTATGAATACGTCGCCCTCCAATGCGCCTGCCATTGTCCGCACATGCTTCGGCCGTCCTACGTATGACGGGAAGAAGCATTTTGGTACATCCTCGCCTGCGAATCCAGCTCTGATAGTTCCACTGCCGTTGTCTATCACGATCGGAGCATTGTGTAGCCGGGAGCCCATGGCGGGGTTGGGGGATAACGATGGATTCGGACGTTGGTAATCTAGGAGAGCGGTCGGCGGCGATGACGGTAGAGAGACGGTTTTTCTGGCGAGGCGAAGAGCTGGTGTCGTGGCAGCTTCTCCAGGTTGGAGCTCCTTCTGAATCGCGAAAGTTCACGACGCGCTTCGGCATTGACGACAGGGGTACCCTCACCGCATCACGTGCCGGCGCTCGCACCTCCAAGAATACGCATCTGCTCCTGCGCGTCATCTACATCGACCACATTTACCATTGGTGCTTCGTCTTTGTTCCATTGTACTATTGTATATAGTTAAGCGATACAATCACAGCATCCAGCATTGTTTCGCCCTCAGCGGCGCGCTTCACTCACCCCGCATCAGCACTATCTAGGCAGCCACCCGTGGACAACTACAATGAACATCATGCTCCGCAATGTACTGTCTGCTGTGTCCACATGTCCACGGCCTACACTCTCCAAACTTTCTGCAGCTCGGCATACATTTTGACTACCTACTAGACCTCCCAGAAGCATGTCCTCAGTAAAGCCTAACCCTGCCATGCAGGCTGCCGCGGCCAGTTTCTCCTCTGCCATACAGAAACGCGAAGATGCCTTTTACGAGCCAAGAAACCAGACCTATTATCGCGTCTCACCTGACGGCAGTTGGACACCAGCAACATCCGATCAAGCGCTCCCAAAAGACGAATCAGAGACACTTCTGCATCCCACGAAGCTTCGTTTGATCTCCTGGAATATCGATGTCCTCGTTCCATTCGCAGAAGAGCGGATGAGCGCTGCACTAGATCATTTGCACGACTTAGTCTCATCGACCCCACCAGACATCGCAATCGTCATATTCTTGCAAGAGATGGGAGTATCGGACATGGAGCAGATTCGAGACTCGGCCTGGGTCAAGCAACGCTTCAACCTCACAGACATCAACTCGCAAAATTGGCTGAGCTCTCACTATGGTACGACCACACTCGTCGATCGGCGAGTGCACATAGACTCTGTATTCCGCGTTCCGTGGTACAGCAAGTTCGGACGAGACGGCCTCTTTGTGGACATCAAGCTCTACAACTGCATTCGTCCAGATCTTCCTGTGAAACTACTACGGCTATGTAACACACATCTGGAGTCTCTGGTCGCCGATCCGCCTGTCCGCCCCATCCAGATGGCAGCCGCAAAGCAGTATCTCAGCCACCCGGATGTCGAAAGCGCAATACTAGCTGGCGACCTCAATGCTATCGAGCCCTTTGATCGCTCTCTGCACACAGACAATGAGCTCGAGGATATGTATCTCTCTATCGGCGGTCACGCCAATGCACCAAGTGACGCTACCGTCTTCGGCAACTTCAATAACAATGTACCCACCAATCGCAATGGTCCCGGAGAAGAAGACAGCGACGCTGGGTACACCTGGGGTTACCAGTCTCCACAAGCCATGAGAGATAGGTTTGGCTGTAGCAGGATGGACAAGATTTTGTTCCGGGGATGGCTGGGTCCTTGCAAGTTCCAGAGGATTGGTCTGGGCGTCAAGGTAGCAGAGGAACATAGACAGATCATGAAGGAGGCGGGAGAGTTAGATTGGGTCTCGGATCATTATGGCGTCATGGGCGATTTTCTGCTCACTTATCGTGGACAGTTGAGGAAGTATGAACTATGACAGCAAGTGTAATGTTGGCGATGTCGCGGACGCTCCTTATCAACACCTTCTCGATTTGACCAAATGCTCATCCATCTCGAGTGGCACTTTCCAGGTTCATCAAGTTCAAGCCTAGGCCTACTACATTGACGCTTCTGGGTATTCCTTGTTCTACTCTTCTGGTTTACAATGGCTCAGAGGAGTACCGGGTGGTGCACCCATAGCTTCTGTAATCTCATACATACGTTCAATGCCTACAAGCATCTTTCAGATGACGCAAAGAAACAACACTGAAGCGATGGCACCTTCAGTTATCATTGGTATGCTAAGTAACATGAGGTACATTTCGACTAGGCAACTACATGTACGGATCTAGTCCAACCGAGTAACTCTCGAATTCGTCTTCCTCTTCAAATCGTACTGTCACGGCCAATATGGATCGCTCAAAAAGGCCTTGTAAACAGCAGCAGTCTCTCACCCATCCGACAAGCAATCTTTCCACTCCTCATCGACGTTGAATACTACATGGACGTAATCATTCAAGTGATAATTCAAATCATCGAGCCGCATCTCTATCCAACACTCTACATGCTCGACGGAGTGTTGGATGAAATCGTGCAGCTCAGGCGTAGCTTCCGGCTGTTCGAGGTCGCGCAGAATATCCTGCATACGGCGGCTTGCAAAACGGCTCTGCGATAGCGGGACATCGCGTAGCGCGAAGGCTATGTTAACCTGTGGAGCGCTTCTGCAGAGATTTATGGCATGTATGATGTCCCTTTGAGGGGGTGATGCGCCCCGAGATTCATACCATTGGTCTGGCAATTGGACGATGACGTTTCCGCGAGCTTGCTTGGGGTCTGCACCGGTAGGAAGAATGAAGGTCTTGATATAAGAAACCGAGTCCTGACACTGGATGTAAGCCTTGGTCTGCGCCCTGTGAATAGGCATGTACTCTGCTCGGAGCTGGCGGCAGGCTTGTGTGAGACCGAAAAACTGTCGTTCAGTCGTATTTGTCTGCTCGTGTTGCTGGGCGGGCTTGTGGATCAGACGAACATCGCGTGGGTCTTGCGCATAGTTGTAGATACAATTGCGGAGCTCTGTTAACATACGTTAGCTCATTATCGTACGGCTATCTTTACTCCTCGAGTGCTAGCTCTTACTCACCTCCGGGGAGCTTTAGAAGGGGGCTCGTAGGTACGCTGTTGACAGACATGTCTGTTGGCTGCACGTTTATGACTTTAGTGTTGACAGAATGTCAGGACGTGGTTCTGTTGAATCAGGTAGTAGAGATTCGAGAAAGAAATAAGGATTGGGCTTGTGATACTCATGTGGCGCTAAGAAGCGCTTTTGATGGGAAAGTTGCTTTTTGTCCTGGTGGCAAGGCTGCCTAGATGTACCTCGCATGTGTTTCGATGTGAATATATCGACTACCATAATGTAACGAGACAGATGTAGCGGCCTCGAAATACCTCAATGAATACATCGGGTAGAGTGAAACAATGTAGTCAAATAATAGGAAGTCAAAAGGTACACAAGGCGTGCCTGGTTCTCCATTATCGAGGTAAATTGCAACTGGAGAAGCTACATGAGCCCCAATAGTTCTCATTCATTAGACAGACAACTTCTGAATACATACAAGCTTCGACAATCGCTATGCTATGTCAGTTTCCTGACTTCATTCAGGCTTCTCGTAGTGATCATGAGAGAAACTGCAACGGCCTTGGATTGCCCCAGTGATCGCTTGGATTGAACCTCCAAGCACCCTTATGCTTTCGCGTAAACCAATATGCGTTCAGGTACGGGATGAAGAAAGGTACAGGTGGGAAGTTTCCACTTCCAGGATAGCTTCTGTCGACACAGCCAAGTACCAACGGGATTACGAGATTCTGAAGAAGCAGCTTGTCAGTGTTTTACTTGATGGTAAGCGGCTAGTGAAAATATTGGAATACGTACCGGATCAGCAGTCTTTGCTCCTTCGTCGGCTACTTCTTTCATCGCCTGCTTGATCTTTTCTCCATCACACTTTTCGAGTCGTATCAAGGTATCGATCTCGTCATGTAGATGCTGAGTGAGGATGGGTGCGAATTCATCGATCAGGCTCTTCAGTTCCGCCGCGTCATACGTTCTCTGTCCAGCCCCAACTTCACCGGCCCACTTCACCAGCCCTGCAATTTTCGGCTCAAACTCATGATGCTGGTCCACGTTTCCTCCCATCATGCCTTCCCAGCCATCTATTCCTGACTCCCTTGCGATCTGCTCTATCTTTGGAAAGAACATAGCCTCTTCAAGGGAGTGATGGTGGTGCACGGTATCCGCCCATGCGGTGACGTACAACATAAGATCCGCAACATCGCCAGGGAGTTGAATGAAGGGCGCTTGGTGATATATGGAATTCAGAGCGCGGAGCAAGACGTTGTGAACATTGGCCATTTCTATGGCGACACTGAGAACACCGGCATTCGTGCATACTGGTGCGTTTGGTTGACCGGGAATGTTGAGGAGGGCGAATGGTGTATCCGCCCATGTGTTTGCTTCTGCCTTGGTGTTCATGCTGAAAGTTGATGGCAAACAAACAAAGGGTCATGAGGGTGAACGTCGAAGAAAGCTACGGATGAATGGCACATCGCTGAAGCCTAGCTATAGCCTGGCCTTCGAGGCTGATGTGCGATAGGCGCTGCTTACTGCGCATACGCGAATCTGTAGGGCTGAACGGTGTACGCTTGAGGTTTTCTTATTCCGGTTAGCAGGCAATCCTCTTGCCAGCTGGCGTAAGCAGTACGCTCCTTACGGACAATGCGCGAAAGGGCATCGGAATCTTACACCCCTAATGCTAATGTCTGCGCATTCATGTTCTCAACGCCTTCGGGGATTAAAAGGGATTGCGCTCGGTGGGACCAAGTGATTGTTAGTCAGGACTCTGCGCAGACATTTGCTGATGCCGTGATGCTCTGCCATGCTGTTATTGCTACTGCGCAGGCACATCGCGACTGCTGGACACTTCCAAGGTTGGTGCAGGTGCTGTTTGTTGAGTGTCTAGGTATTCGTAACCGTACACCTCTGGCAGATGTCGAGCGCACATCTCTGGTCTGAGACTGCGCAACTTCTGAGAGGCTTTGAGAAGATTCGGCTTCGACTGCGCTGGATGCTTTGGTGTTGGGAAGCCCTGGCATTCGCGCAACAGGGAAATGAAGGGCGAACTAGAGCCTTGGCAGATGACATAGCTTCTCGGTCCCTATGTTGAGCAACTTCACGGCGGCGTGGCACCTCGTTGTTTCATCAATACCACCGAACAAGCATCCTCCCGACTGCTCGCCGTAATCCGCGCATAATGACGTTGTGAGAACAGCGCCCCTAGGAGTCACCATGCGTAAAGACAGAGAGAGCGGAAGCGCAATCGCGGGAGCACGCGTAGGACGTTTGCAAACCAACGAACAATTGCGCAGCGAGCTCATAAGAACGATGTGTTCTTTGGAGAAGGTTCCACGCGCCTCATGGCACGGACGGTAGATCTGCCGATCGTTTGATCGAGAGAGATGACCCCACGCGTACGCCATTTCAACTCACCAGCTTCACCAAAACTGATGAGAAGGGACCACAGCCATGCAGACGACCCTGTTTTGTTTCAATAAAGTCTAGACCTGTTTTTGTAACCTTGTTTCTTGTCCACAGGCAGACATCATGCAGGGCCAATCCCCTGTACCGCTCGCAAAAGAAGGAAACAAAGAGATGTCTGTAACGGTCCGTCACCCACAGGGGGTCCCTCATTTCCTAACTCCACACCTTGCATCACCGTGCTCCCGACCCCACGGTGATCACTTACAACTCTAATGCTTAGCGTATGACATAGAGAGAGGTAATATAGAAGATGGGCCGCTCGCTCATATTCTTCCCTCGATAACCGACCATTCACAACCCCAAAGAACTCACTGCTTTGGCGCATTGACTTGTAAAGACTCCCCTTCACCTGTCTTCCCCTCGAGTACCGACAAGCACCAAGTTCTCCCATTACCGACACTCAACCTGCTGTACCACATCTTCTCGACATCCCTGGCTTCGAAGTCGGATCTATCAGCCAGAATGTACACCCAAATGCTCTTCAGCGCGTTTCTAGCGACGGCGCTCGCGGCACCGCTCGTTCAACGGCAGTCACCGAAGACGGGAGCCAGTGACAGTTGGCAACCCGCATCCGACACAATAACGACATGCGACCCCGCCTCCGACTCCGATAAATTACTCAGCTTCACAGCTGATCCCAAACTCGAGACTATCCTTAACAACGCCTGCGCCGCCATGATGCCCGGTTGCGCCTATCCAGACCGCATCCCCACCGGTACGCTGTGTACCGCGACTGTTGACTACCCACTCAACGGCGACAAGAACAGCACACAGGATGCCAATGTAGTGGGTAGCGATGGTAACAGAATTACCGACATGGCTGTCAGATGTAAGAAACTCTTATCCAATTCGCAGCATCCACATGTACTAACGAAGGTCATAGTCGATGTCACACCAGCTTCCCAACCCGAGGACTCTGCTGGTGTCTTCTGGAAGGTCGAGGATTGCTATGGCTACTTTGCTCGCATGCTTCAGAAGGAGGGAAAAGAGGGATGTCACAACAGCGTCGGATCGGGTTCCGGTAATGTGACGGTCGGCGGTGATTCATCACTGGCTGGTACCATCTTCAAGGTCTCCATTGTTCCTACGGAGAGCTTGCAATAGCTGTCCATATTTACTTTCTTGTTCATTTTTAGGGTATTGCTGAGCTTTGGCGTCACGATAGGCGCGTACGGACCATGGATCAAGCGCTGTGCGCATTGGCGTTCTATTGTAGCAGTCCCGTTGCTATTCATTTTATGATTGTCACGCTTCACGTCAGAAATCGGTGAGGTGTGAATCTTCTACATTGTTCCTGCCACACCAGTGTGAAAATGTAGCAGCCGCATTCACTATAAGTTTCGGCAAGTTCGACTGCTTTGGACGTGCCGGTACGCCGTCCTTTCCACCCAACGCCTCCAGATCACTCTCACTTGATCAGCAGCTTGTCTCGTTAGCTTACTCAGGATTCATACACAGTATCGCCTTAGTTACAAAACGCAAATCCTCTCAGCACAATGGCGCACGATTACCGCTCACCACTCGACAACGCGGACGAAGAGCTGGTAAAGTACAAGAACCCGTACCTCAAAGGCATGGGAGATCAGAGCATATGTACCATCTGGCCGACCGATGCACCTACAGACTACATAAGCAGCGCCACCGTCTTCCTCGAAGCCGAATACGCAAATCCCGATTCGCCAATCCACCAAGACCCTCCGCTACCCATCCCACCAGATCCCGACGACAACTCACTCAGACCCCTCAAAACCGACGACGATGTCTTCGACGCTGCTCGTATATGGCTCAAATGTCCTCTCGATCACGCCATCGTGATGAAATATCCTACTCAACTCGTGCAACTCAATGGGTGGGTGGGCTACAGTCGGGTAACACTCTATTATGAGAAGTTCATGGGGACACACCAACCGAGATTGCTCATGACTATCAAGTGGCTATGTCCGAACACACTGGATGGCATAGCTGAAGGTGACACGATCGATCGGCAGTGGGTGGACGAGCCAAAGGCCTACAAATGCTCATACGTTGCTCTTTGCGATTACGACAACCTCGTTCTTTTAAGGTTCGGAAACGTCTTGGGGATTGAAGGAATTCGGGTCACCGCCGTTCCAAGAGATAGTATGCGTCTGGCGTTCTTGGGATTCCTACTTGAAGCGTGCGATGCGGTATTAGGTGAGCCAGGTAGTGGCCTGTCTTGATTCAATTCTCTTGTCGTAACCTCACACTCTACTAAAGGACTCCAGTAATGGATAGATGACTAAGCAGATCAATGGTAGCTGTTTGGAGGTCAATAACAAACTTTTTCTGTACAAGCTCTGGGTCTGTCACGAAGCTCGCAACGCGTATGCATAATCTGATGACAGAACCTAGCTTCGGAGGCTTCCATAGCATCCTCCATAGGCGAAACCAAGCAAACATGGTAGTGTAGAGGCCACGCGACGAAGGCGGTGATGCGGCTCCATGCCAAGTCGGCGCATACGTCATCACCAGCTCACGGTCGCTCACCCCTGTTCTCAAAACACCAACCTCGTTACTAAACAACAGCTGCGGTTGCCGACAGCCGCAACATCTCGTAATGAGAAGAAGAGCCGGGCACCTCCGCTACCACATTTCGACCGAGGAAAAGAGTCCGCATGCTTGGCAACACGTGCATACCGATGCGCGTTCACGATGGTTCCTGTCGGTCCGGGAAAGGTACCGGCGACATGCACATGTATCCGAGTCTGGACTGTTTATGAAAACGTGGTACTGTGTAGTGGCTTGGGAGTGACGTGCCACCAGCCACAGTTTTTTTATGTCAAGTAGAGCAGGCACGTCCTCATTGCAAAATTATTACCATCCCTGCCTTGTCTACACCATACACCATAATCTCTAATTCAGACACAAGGTGCAAGCTTCATCGAAATGCGCGTCGCCAGTACCGTCCTCGCACTCTCCTCCGCCGCCTCAGGCTTCATCCACCCTCGTCAAGCCTCCTACAATGAGACGAGCTCTACACCCAATGTCGCGGCCGCACAATATGACGGAACCTGTTTTTACCCAGTCCCTGATTCCAAGTTCAACCTGAACGCGTATCTCGGTACCTGGTATCAGGTAGCTGGTACGCCATTCGGTCCTACAGCCGGCGCGCGTTGCGTGAGCGCAAATTACGAACTCAACGTACGTTTTTTCGTGTATGCGAATCTTTAGACGGTGATTGACAGCTGATGCAGGACAATGGTACGGTGCGCGTCACAAACACCGCTACTGTCGGCCCACGAACTGTCGACATTGTCGGCACAGCTACGCCCGTAGACTCTGCCTATGGCGCCGGCGGTGCTTTCGTTGTCAGCTTCCCTGGCACGCCATCAACGGCAGAATGCCCAGGACCCAACTACATTGTGCAAGGTGAGTCGTGTTATGAGCATTAATCGAACTGCACGATCACTAACGTTGATGCGCAGATTACGCCGTCGATTGGGCGATTGTGCAGACGCAGAAGTGGAACACGCTGTACATCTTGAGCAGGGTGCGACAACCAGCCGCTGAAAGCATCGATGCATGGATTGATCGCGCTGTGGCTTTTGGATCGAACGCATCCTCGATTATGAAGTTCAACCAGACGGGTTGCGAATAGGCGTAAGTCGGCAGTGAGGAGCTGAGGATTTCAATGCGGCGACGTTGATGTGAGCCATCGGTTTATGCAGAGCCGCGAAAACTTCATCACATAACCATCCAAGAGAAGGGCACATCGACCATCTGAGCACTCAATACTCCAGAGATACATGTACAATAGAGAGAGTATACATTTTTCAGGCCTGATGCCGATCAATGGGTATCCAATGACTTCCAAAAGGAACAACAACTCCGGTTACGCGTTGTAAAGCTTATGACGACTGTGCAGCAGACGCACTCTGCTCATCAACCTCAACGACGCTCTTCCCGTCGTCTTCCTCGCCTTTCTCAATTGCCATGACCAAACCCAGACCTGGATCCACGCTCGTCTCAGAACCGTTCTCAAGCTCAACGTGCTTTGCTGGAGCATAAGGATTGAGCGGATCCCAAACGGCGGGAATATAACGCTCATCGTCGTGGTACTGGTCTGACAACCACTGTTCCGGGGGGGAAGCAGGACACCAGCCCGGCCCAGACAGACCGATCATTAGACCATCCCAACGCACCATTGGATTCAGAGGTTTGCGATACTGTTTCGTAAGACGCTCGTGGGTTTGACGCATGCGGCACTGATCTTCACAAAGAGGATGGGTGCGGACAGCAGAACAGTTGAAGTCGAACACTTTGACCGTCGGACAACTCGCCTCATCTGCTTCGTGGAGACCATTGATCATGATGTTTCGCGGGTAAAAGTCGCAGTGAACCACGCCCGTGTGATATATCACAGACTCAGCGTCTAGAACCTTCTTGAGCACCTCGGAACGCTTGTCTTGCGGCAAAGATTCGGCGTTGATTTGACACATCGACCGCCCTGGTAAATGTTGCATTAGAATGAGTGGAACATGACGCGTGTGCTTCTGGACCTTTCCTCCTTGACGGACAACCACGTTGATATCTATGGTCCAGGTTCCGTAGAATGCGGGTGTTACGTTGCGAGCCGCTGCCGACTTTTGCAGCTCGACATATGCGTGGGCCTCGCGACTGTAATCGCCATACGCTTCATACTTGACATGTTGTTTGCGGCCGAAATCGTTGATATACTCGTAGTACAGCGGATCGTAGATCTTAGCAACCATGTCTCCGTTGATCACTACTAGCTGCGCGCCTTGATCGTTGCTGGTTCGGATAATGGAAGTGATGGCGAGTGATTTTGTTTCGTGACCGATGGTTTTGCCGCCCAAATCTGGTCTTGACAAGCAAAACTCCAGTAGGGGTATGGACATCCAATCTTCCCGCTCATTCTGGCATTCAGTGTCGTAAAAGTCATAGCCAAAAGGCTCTGGAGGCTCGTGTTTTGTTGCGATAGCTGAGAAGCCCACGACGTATGGCAGCCTCGGTCGTTCCGTGAGGTCGGTGTCACTATCGTCAGCGTCGCTCGCTCGCTGTTGCGCGCCATGCTTGGATGGTCGCACGGAATTATCTGAAGTGACTGACGAGCTCGGGGAGCCACTATTGGTGCAAGGGAGGTCAGAGCCATCGGGAGCTGCGTGCGGTGAATGCGGAATCTCCATCCTGATATGTGTGCTGGAGTTGGGAATTTTCATGTAGTGGGATGGATGCAGAGGCGGGGTACAGTAGGGAGATGGTCCCAGGCAACCATGGAACGGTCCAACGCCAGCCGCTTAGCGTCAGCGCGCAATCACGTGATTTGCATTCACTCTCTCGACCTTTGTGGTCTTAGCTCTATTGCTGCGTATCTCTAAGTGAGAGTCTACCCAACGGCGCAGTTGCTTATATAGAGAATGTCCGACTCCTCGCACTTGCCAACCCCTGACATACCATTATTACGCAGCTCAGTTCGTGGAGCCAACTTTATCAGCGACTTGTACGCCCAATTGTAAGCCGTCCAAGTAACATGAGGTCCAGTAGTCAATCCTCGGACTATTCTTCTCCAGCGCCATCAGTCATCGGTTCTTTCAACAAACCCCTTCCTCAATTGGACACTTCTTCTCAAGCCTCATACATAGGGGTCTCATCTTCGATCTGGTACAATCACCAACACCACAGAACCACCGCGGACATTGTATTATGTACCGATAAGTCGTTTGGAAAGAACTGCAGAAAGCTTCTTGTCTAAAGAGCGTCTCATAAGAAAGGGGCTTGAAAAGAAGCACATCCTCTCTACGTACTTGTCCGCGGTTCGTCTAATACACTGAGGCTGATATAGTCGGTTCTTATTAGGCATACAATATCCAGTCTATCATAGGAGTCTTCAACGTTATGTTTGGCGGTAACTTCCTCTTTCTGCCAAGAGCCTTCGCAGCAAACGGAAGTAGTTCACAGAAAAGACGGCGCGAAAACGAGCGTGCGATTCGATTTCCTCTTCAGGAAGCGTTCAAAGAGCAGCCCGAACGGTCAAGGAGAAGTCATCGCTGTTATCAAATACAAGCGACGCCGGTTAATTTGATACAACGACTTCCAGCCTGCACTCGTGGCAGAGGGCGCTCCGCCGGAGAAAAAGGATATTCTTGAAGGAAATGCGGGTCCATTCTGCAAGCAGGTTAGTGTCTATGCTACTCGCACTGGATGCGGACATGTTGCGTTGCTTGATTGCGATAATCTGACCCTTTTCGAGTTCCATCGGCTGGGCAGGGGAAGGGGTGGAGATGAAGCGAAGGTGTCATGGGTACATGAGAGTGATGAAGGACTTGGCTTCATAAAGGAGAGCTACATCCGCAAGGTCCTCTTAGGCTGGCTCGTCAAAGCATTCGAAGATGCGGGGATGGAAGTCAAGAGCTAAGCGGTCTAGATGTGTTGCACTTATTATGCGCATTCAAACTGCTAAGTTTGGTGCACGAAATGTCATCTAGAGGACGCGAGAGACGTCGGGAGAACTTGTCCGGTTAGCGATTTGGAAGCGAAGAGACCCAAAATACACATACGTTTGCAGTTACACATGTTGCCATACTAGGTGTATACGTGACTAGGTTCGCGCTCTGCCTACAAGTACCCCATGCAATGTATACACCAGCCTGCGATTCGCAACTTCGTATATTTCGAGGTGTCTGCGCACACTTTCAGACTATTCAGACTGCACAGCTTCATCCTGGAATGTCTTCTTCGTCATCAAACCGCGCCATGTGCAGCATCGGAACCGTACCCTTGACAGCTCCAATCACGGCCTCATGGCTCCACTTCTTCAAACCTCTAGACCAATCAATCCTAGGACAAGCGTTCCTATCCAACGCATCCCTAACAAGAGGCACATACTCCTCCCTCTCCCCAAAACACTCCCACAGCCACTCATTCGTCGTCTCCGCCTTACTACTAACCCAGCCCTTAAACGCAAAATCGCCCATCGCATTCCAAAACCTCGTTACTGGCCCCATTATCCTGCCCGGCCATTGCTGTTGTATGTATGCGGAGTCGGAGTCGCCAGGACGGGGTTCGCTGAGCCGAATAACGTTGGAGACGTTGAAGTCGATGATGACGATGCGGAGATCTGGGTCGTCGAGGGAAGAGGTTGGTGATGGGGAAACGAGCATGACGTTGCGAGGCGCGATGTCGCGGTGCAGGACACCGGCGGCGAAAATGAGGGATTCGGCTTCTAGGACTTTCTTCATAATTGCCGAGCGGGTTTCTGCAGAGAGCAGTAGAGGCTTTATGGCGGTCATAACAGTACCGGGTATATATTCCATGAGTATGAGCCGAACGTGTCGTGTGTACATCTGGCCGTCCACCAACGTGTCTACGTCAATAGTCCAGCTACCATAGTACTCCGGGACGACGCGCTGCGCCTTAGGATCTCGTCTTAACTCATCGTACGCGGCGGCTTCGCGAGAGTAATCTCCGTCAGATAGTACGACAACATCGCGCTTGTCGTCGAAGATGTCGAATTCGTCATCGTAAAGCGGGTCGTATATCTTTGCTACTACATCTCCGTTGACCAAGACGACTTGTGCACCGTATATAGAGCCGGTACGTATTGTGTCGGTGACGGTAAGCGTGTAGGACTCTTCGAGCGTACACCCTTCAATTGGCGGTCGGATAAGACAGTAGTTGAGCTGCGGTAGTCTGAAGTGGCCTGTTTTGAAAGGCGGCCATGGAGTGTTGTAACCGTTACCGAAAGGCGCAGGTGGGACGTGACGGTGGGCAGTGAACGTGGCGCCTACCGTGTAGGGCATAGCAGGTCTACTGTCGGTCTTGTTGTACGGGTAGTTCAAATTTTCGAGATCGTTGCTCTTCTGGCTCCCCACACGACGTTCTGATTTATCAGGAGCGGTGTCAAGCGACCTAGAACTGCGCGCTGAGGGCGTCATACGGCGGGAAGAGCTCGTCGTCATGGCGGCTGGCGACTGGTATCTGGGGCGTTTGACCTGAGAGTGTAAAAGTGTCCGTAAACCAGACTAGAGCAATCGCCCATACGCCATTTTCGCAAACGGGGGTGAGCGGTGAAAGCGTTTTTCGTGGTCCCTGGTGAAAGTGAATCGACTCTAAATCCATAGGTGAAGCCATGTTTGGCGAACGAAACCCTCATCTGATCTTGATCCCGAGATACCAAGCACAGTATCTCCCTGGATAAATAGTACCAAGTGTTCGGGGAAACGAGAACGAAGAGAAAGTCATTCCAGAATACTGCAGGTTTGGAAATGGCGCGTTGTAGATTCATCGTGACCTCATCCAAAAACCGGACGTTGCCCAACAGGAGTATCTGACTTAGGTTCCTGAGAGACAGGCTGTTGAGGAATAAGCTGAGAACCCCATTGCTGAACCGGCTGCGAACCCCACTGTTGGTGAGGATGCGGCGCCCATTGTTGTTGCGGAGGCTGACCCACCCACTGCTGTCCTGGTTGACCCATCCATTGCTGTCCCGGCTGCTGAACCCACTGCTGTCCCTGCGGTCCAGTATAAGGCGACGGCGGACCAGGTGGCTGCATCTCATACACACTCGCAAACGCCGCATATCTCCCTTTACCGCCAAACGCCCACTTAACCCCTCCTCTCGCCCGTACAAGAATCCACAAGCTGACAAAGACTGATAAAGCAGCGACAGCCATGGCTATGACCATAAACCTCATTGCCTTCGCAGTGCCACATGCTGTTCTTGCCCAATCTTCCTCAGGGAAGAATTTGTCGATCTGACATGCCCACGTCTCTCTCGTGTGCTCCTGATCGTCCTGGCCAACGTCTTCGTAACTCTGCCAGCTACTATCGCTACTCTGAACAGACGTGACATAGCCAAAGACACCCAGACTCGCACCAACCATCACGACATTACTAACGAAGATGATCCACGTCCACATCCTCTCATGTCCCGCTGTGCCCTCTGTTCTTCTCAATTGCCATATCCCCGCTGCGCTGAGCAGACTGACTAGATATCCTAGCAGACATAACGCGAGTATGGTGATTGTGGGCGCGTTGTTGACATCGATCGTCACGGTGGTATCGTTCGAGCCGGGGCGGGACAACGTTATCTGGGAAGCGCCGCTGCGTATGTCGCGACCGAGACCGTCGTTGAAGTAGTTTTTGGATATGCGCTCGAGGATGTTGGTCAAGGCGGCGAGGCCGAAGAGGAAGAGAAGGGGTGGTAGGAGGAGGAGTAGGACACGGATGCCGTTGGGGTTGCGCATTCTCGTAGCTCGGCGGTGGATGGCGGCGTCTAGGGAGTCGCGATGAGCTGATACGGGTTATACTTGGGCGCAAGATGTCCCTTTCTCCCAGCTAAAGGTGCGCAAGGCGACAGTCGAGCCATCGTGACTCGCTGGTGGCGGTCTGGGTCGAGGCGTGGACGCCTGAAAGCAGCGTTGGGGGCCAGCCTTGCTTGGCAAACCTACACGTCTGAGAATAGCCTTGCATGCTGTATTTAGCGAAGTGACGCTGGATCAAATCGAGTCGCAAAGACTATGACACTATGTCGCCAGAAGTCGCGTGCTGCACCGTGGCATCGCGACACGCGTTCACGTGGTTGTGGGGCATCATCCTGTCGGGCCGTCCACCGGGTGATTCAACAAAACCATGTACAAAAGCCATAACAGAGAGATATTATCTATTGAATCTACTCCGCCCAAGGCAGAGAAACAGGCATTCTATATGCCAAAGATCTACACAAGTACCAGCCTAACGATCTAAGAAAAAATTACAAGTATATGTTCTAGCGTCCCATGAATTCCAAACGCCGTGTATGCAAAATAGCTCCCGCTCATTGGAACTATTGCGGTGCGCCGATAGCCTGCAGCTTCGCCAGCTCAAAGTAAACGCCCTTCTTGGCCACCAAGTCCTCGTGTCTACCCTTTTCTACGATCTTGCCTTGGTCAAAGACATAGATCACGTCGGCGTGTTGGATTGTGCTTAAGCGATGCGCGATAGCGATTGTAGTGCGGCCTTGTGCGGCGGAGTCGAGGGCGGCTTGTACAACGCGTTCGGATGTGGAGTCGAGGGCGGATGTGGCTTCGTCGAGAAGGAGGACTTTGGGGTCGCGGAGGAGGGCGCGGGCGATGGCTATGCGTTGGCGCTGGAAGACATGTTAGTGGGTTGAGAGACATGGATGAGTAGGAGAACATACCTGACCACC